GGTTTAATTCTAGACTAAATGAAGAATGCATTTGTAAAGATACTCTTTTTTTCTCCGACTCCTGTTTCTAGAAACATCTTTATCATGAGACCTTGAAGCATTCTTATTTATTGCTCCTCTAATGTTGAAAAAAGACTTTGATTTGAAGGTGTCTAGCAACTATAGAGACTCTATAAATATCTGTTGAGTTGATGAATGAGTGTGCTGTACATGCAATAATTAGAATACTATTCAGAAGTTTCTATGTGTTATATTTTTGCTTTTTGACTGCATTTTAGGTCAAAGTTGAGACCAAACATGGTAGAATTTTAAGGACAGGTGGTTTCTCCTTCCATATGTGACATCACAGTACCTGGAGCAGGATGAGCCAGGATGTAGGTGTGGGTCCCTTTTGCACAGATAGATTTGAACCCTTGGTTTTAAAGCCTTTTATAAAGAAACATAAAGTGTCTGATTCCAAGTCCCTCATTTTATGGAGGAAAACTGAAGCAATTAAAAATGAGTGGCTGAATATCTGAAAAAAGAATCTTAGTTTAAATATACAATACTAGGAGCATTCAATATTAAATTTATCACTAGTTAAGGATGGGGCCTATTTTATTAAACTATAGGCTACATGTCCAAGGGGTATATAAAACATCAATGAAATTTGTGTTTTGTCTGAGGCCCCATCCTTAAGATACCTCATTATGTTCATGCAAATATCACCAAATCTGAAATCAAACTCCAAATCCAAAACACTTCTGGTTCCAAGTATTTTGGACAATGGACATGGAACCTGTCGTATTTAAGAATGGAGCCATGCACGGTGCCCCTGTCTACTGATCAAGCACACGCTGTGCTCCTCCTGCACCAGGAGCCAGGGAGGTGCTACCTCCTGGAGAGAGTGCTGGCGCCCCAGTGTGGCTTAGAGGAGCCACTGCCATTCACTAGCCGTTCAAGTTCTCTCTGTCAGCCTCCACTCTTCACCTGAGAAACAGGGATAACACATTCAATCTTCTGGAATTGTTGCAAAAGAATATGTTTGCTAGGGTGCAGAGTCCTCTGCTTGCTCCTTCATAGAGAACTCCCTGGGGTGTCTCCATGCAGTTATTCCCCAAGCTCCAGGTTCTGTGCAGCAACTGACCCAGTTAAACATGGAGTCTTCTGGGAGTTTCCAGTGCAGAAGGAGGGAATTTAAGACCAGTCTTGTGTTAGGCGGTGGTTCTAATTTTCTCTGCATAGCTCACATTTTCACTTTTAAGGTGCATGTCCTCTTATACTAACTCAGCTTTATTTTCTTAGTTTCTTTCCCTGGCATTCAGAAATAATTCCAAAATCTTTTGTGATATTGTCCTGTGTGATGATTTACAGGATTCAGGAGCTATTCTCAGTAAGGAATGCCACCAAACACACTAATATTTGAATATACTATTGTAGATCAAAAGCACACAAAACATTCAAAAGCTTCCATCAAGATTCATAAGTTCCTAGTAAATCCTTCTCTGCTACTTAACAGTCAATCTCAAATCAGGTAACTATTTTTTTTTCTGTAAATATTTAGAAATTCTGTAATTCAGTTGAATTCTCACATCATTTAGATGGTAGGGGATGAAAAGATAGAGATGTGAATCCTTGAAATAGGAACCAGGGATCACTGGACAGAAACATTTAATGTGAAATTAGAGAAGGTTCATGTCTATCCTGCAACTGACCCAACCAAGTTAAAGGCCAGGAGTCCAGATGCCTAAGGCATGTGAGCTGCTGAGTTCTGGTCAAGTCATATTTTATCCATCCAACACGTATCTAAGTGGGTATTTGTCATGTTCCAGCCACTCCGCTAGAATTTAAGAATAAAAACATGAATCAAGTAGACCAATGGTCTGTTATCACTTTCATGGGGATTTTCATGGGAGAAAAGTAAAATGATTAAGCACTGAGAGAAAAAAAAAAAAGAAGAAGAAATTACAAGAGATATCCACAGCATTAAAGTCGACTCTAGTCAAGAAAGTCAGATGCCGTAAGACTTCCTGGCCCTCCTTTGAGCTGAGACTCCAAGGGGAGTGACCAAAGTAAAGGGCAATAATGAGAAAAGGTTCCCCTGCACAGGGGACAGGATGTATAGAGGCCCTGAGGTAAGAGGAAACCTGGAACATGGCCCAGGGTTCATAAAGGATGGGAGTAGGGAAGGGAGGGAAAGAGATAAGAGGGAAAGAGAGAGGTCAAATCAGGTAAATCGTTATAGGGTTTCAGGTCTTTCCAGATGGCACTGAAGGATTATATAGAGATGTTATTTGATCCTCGCCTTGGGTTATTCCCTGTGTACAGTAATGGGGTGTGGTATCATTTCAGGGGCTAAACTCTTAATCATAGAGCCCTTTAAGAAATGGCCTGATCTAGACAACATTAGCAGAGGGGCTACTTGTGAGCTTCCCGTCACTGTGACAAAATACTTGAGATCAACCTCTAAGAAGGAGGAAAGATTTATTTTGGTCCACAGTTTTAGTCCATGATTGGTCATTTGACCCTATTGCTTTTGAGAATATGGTGAGGCAGAACATCATGGAGTGAACATATGGCAGAGGAAACTACTCTTTTCATGGCAGCTGGGAAGTGAGAGAGAAAGGAGGCAGGGTGTCCGGTGGAGTCCCAGTCTCCCTTTCAAGGCATACCCCCCAATGACCTAACTTCCTTCCATTAGACACCTCCCCCACCTCTGTTTCCACCACCTCCCAATGGACATTAAAGATCCAGCCATAACAGGGGCATGATTTAAGTCTTATTTGCTCTAATTTAGAAGAAAAATGAAAAGGTTATTTATTAAACTCAATCCTTTGTCATCCATTTACAAAAACAAATAGAAGAGTAATTTTTCTGAATTTTTTTTTAAAAAAGTAGATAACCTTTACCTGCAGTAGCCTAGGTCTATAAAGTGATTCCGAGTCTGTAATCTCTAAAGTGACGATGGGCACTAAGTTTCCCGAAAGGTTGATTTGTCACTCATCTTGTTTATGATTCACAATCATTCTTAAAAGCATTCTGTGACTCAAACTCCTAGAAATTATTGTTTAAAGGATTATTATTTCACTATGCTTGTAGAACTGGCCTGATTTGATTACCAGAAGTAAAACCTTATTCTGCTATGACATTTTTGAACAATCCCTAAACAACTTTTCTTTTCTTTTTCTATTTAAAAAAATAACCTGAGGTTTATGGGCATCTAGTAATGAGGTGAAGGGGCATATAAAACCAGCTTTACAAGGGCAGGCCTGGGTGTGAATTCCTTCCAGAACCTTATTTAATCTGTAAACTTGGTTGTTTGTTTTGAAACATTTATGCTTCTATATTTCTTTACTTATATGGATACTGTTTCTTTAGCTTTTTATGATGAATATATACATGTATATACACATATGCATATTTATACATACATATATAAAACTTGGCTCAGAGCTTTCCATACTGAAATAACAATCAAAACAAGTTCTTATTTGCAAGCATCTTTCTCACAAGGGTATGTTAGGCACAGACTTTTAAGAAAACTCAATGAAAATGCAAGGGGAAACTGAGTTTTCAATGACTCAGTGATTCTTTTTAGGAAAATAGAAATATCTTTGGATTCAAATTTGTTTCCCATTTGAAAAATAGATACTTTGTAATATATTAACTAAAATATTCCACCTCATCTCTGAGAATCATTCTCCCTTCTTACCCTGGACTTGTCCCCACCTTCCTTTTAAGGCTCAAAGGTGACTGTTGCTTACCTGCTTCTGTTCAGCTGGTGGATTTATTTCTTGTACCTTTTGCTGACATCTCACAAATTGTTAGAGCTAGGGGGAAAAAAATCTGCATTGAATGTTGAGTTGCCTGGTGTTTGTTTAATAGAGCCACATGTTTCTACATTTAAAAAAAAAGATGAGAAAAGAGAAGGATTTTTATATCACAACTATCAAAGGGGAAATTGTTTCAGTGAATGTGAGTGGCCGCTGGTCTCCTTTCTCTTGTTTGTTTCAATTTCTGGTGATAAAGATGCCTGAAGAGTAAGATTGCAACCAGCGAAGCATAAAGCACCCGAAGGAGGAGGAGAAAGGTTGGCTGGAAGATAAAGCTCTTTTAGATCTGGGAGAATCGCGCTCCCTTTCCCTTCCCTTTCCAAACCACAGCCGGTCCTGTAATTAGCGGAGCAAGTCAATCTGAGCTAGGCAAATCACTGGTTTTCCATGAAATAATTATATTTCTGATGCTCTCAGACATGTTCACCTCTAAGCCTAAAAACAGAGAAAGATGGTTTTTATTTTTTTTTTCTTTTTCATGAGCTGGGGGAGGGAGAAGAATAGTGGAATCGACAGTGTTACAATGAGCGAAACCAGTACAAGGTAGGAAAGAAAAGGATTTTGTGGGAGCGTGGGAACACTGCGTTCTGCACAGGGAGTTTCAGTGCACAGAGAGAATGCCTTGTATTCGATTTGCTAACTCTCCAAAGGGGAATAAAGTGAGGCTTTTCTAAACTTTCTATACAGCGAAAGTGAGCTCCTTGCTTGTCTCGGCCTCCGCAGCACGCGGGCCGGGGTGATAGCACCCCCTCTTTCTCCAGAGCTGGGTTTCTCCTCCCTCCCCTAAGCCTGCGGACTCTTCTCCCGTGCCCAGCGCACCCGGGTGTCTCCTTGCAGGACTGGGAACAAGAGTGCGTCGCGTGGGTAGCGTCGGTCCCTTCACTGGCTGGACGCCAGAGGCGGCCTCCGGGGCGGGGACAGCTCCGGCCACCATGCGCGCAGCGGGGCGATTCCACCCACAGCTCACCGGCCGGGTGGCAGGTCTTGGCATACGGGACCGACAAGAAAGGAGCACAGTCGTCGCCCCCGCGGCCACCAGGGCCTCGTGTCGCCCGCAGGCTCCAGCAGGTGCGCAGTGCACCGGCTGTGTCCTCGAGTCCTCCCGCCCCGCGGCCTGGGCGCAGCGCCCGCCCCGCCCTCGTCCCCGCCCGCGGGCCGCCCGGGGCAGGGCCTGCAGCTGGGGCCCGTGAGCCGCGGACCGGGCATGGGCGGGCGGCTGTCGGCGGAGGGCGGCTGAGTGCGGCCAAGGGTCCGCGCGGTGACCTCCTGTCGCCGTGCGCTCCCCTTCAGTGAGCCTGTTCGCAACGGGGACCAAGCCCGCTGGCTGCAGAGACCCGGCTCCGCGGCGGCGGTGTAAAGCTCTCGCTGTCCGGCTGTACGCGGGACTGAGCTGTTGGCGCTGTCCTGGCGCGATGCGCTGAGCGCCCGGCTCCCCCGCTGCACCCAGAGCCGACCCCATGGAACCAGCAGGCACCGGGCGGAGCCTGCTGGCGCCGCCGCCTGGGCTTCTGCTGCTGCTGCTCCTGCAGGTGGCGGGGCCGGCGGGCACCCTGGCAGAGACCCTCCTAGACTCTCCAAAGGCCAGGGGCACCAGTTCCAGCCCACCTAGCCCGGCGAGCGTGGTGGCTCCGGGAACCACGCCGTTTGAGGAAAGTCGTCTGCCGGTGTTCACTCTGGATTACCCCCACGTGCAGATCCCCTTCGAGATCACCCTGTGGATCCTGCTGGCCTCCCTGGCCAAGATCGGTAAGCGAGCTGGACCTGCAGGGTGGGGGCGGGGACGATTGCGACGCAGACTCCTGGTGGGTGACCTAATAGGTGAGTTGACCTCCTAGTCCTGGCCATCTGCTCCTGAACAGAGGCGACTCATAGAGCAACTTCTGCCCATTGAAAACGTCTTTGAGAAGAATAGTTGCATGCTTTGGTTCCTAAGTGGACATTGGCCTTGAAATGGCCCCAAAGGATTAGCCCATACAAATTTAGTGATTTGCTGTTTGATCCGGTTTTGAACGTCAAGTTTGACAGCTCTTTGCCAAAGTGAGACCTGTTTGCTGAGGGAGGAAGTGGGTAGGCTGAAGCATATCAGTCGTACCTACCGGAGACAGGTGCAAGTGAGCACCAAGGCTAAAATCATTAAAGCCCTGGATGCTGGAGGAGAGAGGGCATTGGCAGTGACACAGACCCTGCCATAGCCCTGACTAATGAAGAACGTGGAAGGGGACCAGTACACTGTAGTGCCTGCAGCAGACAAGAGTGCCCTGTCTCCTTCCTTTTTTTTTTGAGCTGAGACTGTCACTCTCTAGGAAACATTTCCTTTAGAATGACTGAGGCCAATGAGGTGAGAGGCACATATTTAAAAATAACTAACTTTTCACATCATCTTTTACTCCTATTCGGAAAACAGAACACCTAGGTTGTGTTTTCTCATCTTTACCCTTCCTACCGGCAATCTTTTACATTATATTCGTGGTGCTCTCTTTCATTTTTCCCTCTACATTTTAAAGACTCTTGTAAAGCCCTTAAAGTATATTAACTACTATTATCATGATTTGAAAAAGGTATAAGGTCAAGAGATTTTGTACATTATCTGTTCTCCTTGTGGGGTGAGACAGTTTTCCATAAAGGATGAAAGAACACATTACCTGTCAACACCAGGAATTTTATTAATTAATGGAGAGAGGCATATACACCAGTGGTTATATCACACAGGGAAGTGCTAGTAGGGTGAGAAATTCATAAAATATAACATGGCAATATAGAGTGTCTGGGGTCACTTTCTTGGGAGAGGAAGCATGCAAACTGGGTTTTCAAGGATGACCAGGGACTGGTCAATTGGAGATGACAGGGAACAACATTCCAGACCAGAATGAACAAAGGCATAAATTGAAGAGGACCTCAAGGCAGGCGGAAGGGATGATTTGTAAGAGGCTGGAAGTTGTGGGAGGTAAAGATAAAGCACATCTTCCATGTCAGATTAAATTAATTAGATTCATGGTGACCAAAGAAGCCACATAATATTTAATGACTTTGCAGTCTCTAATTGCTTGGCTTTGGCATGATTCTGCTTGTTGAGTGTTTTCATTCCTCCTGAGCAACAATATAAAGGAAATGGACTTCCCCATCTATCCATCAGATGCATAAACTCATGGCCTCTAATAGTAAAATCAGATGCCATCTCTTCACATGAGTCTTACAACATCCCTGCCCTGTAGGGAATCCTGGTACTGACACTCTCACTTTATACAGGTACAAACTGAGGCTCAGAGAGTTTACACCCAGGGGCATGCCAAGTCAGGAGCTGGGTGCAGAGTTCTCTTCACCTTCAGGCTGAGTCTAGCGGCTCCATCCCTGGCAGGCTCTTTGTGGTCCCTGTCCATTACTGCTTTTTCTGTTGCCTTTTCTATTCCAACCTCCTTCCTCTGTTCTTCACTCCTGATTATTTTAATCGGATTAATTACACTAATAACAGCAGCTAGTAGGTACTTAAGTTCATTATCTCTAATTTTCACGGCCTCTATGCTGGGTTGGTATGATGAGCCTGTTTTGTATAGTAGGAATCTGAGATGTGGGGAGGTTTATTTGAGGTTTGTGTGGTGGGGGGGTGGAGGGAGCCAGAATTTCAGCCAGGTCAGTCTGATGCCTCATCTTTGTGTGTGCCCTGGAGACTTGTTGTGTTGTGAGGATTGAGAATGGATATGCAGAACATTGTCAGAACAGTGCTGGGGCATGTATTAGCCCTGCATCAGTGCCCTCACCCTTAGTGGCAATTGTGATGGTAGACCCGTGAGAGTAGCAGTATTAATTGTGCTGTTTCTGGCACTTTAGTTCCTTTTCCACTGTCCTGGGCTGCCTCCGGTATTTCTCTCCATCTGACTTAGTTTCAGCCTTTTTCAAGTGTCCTTATTCTGTGAGTGATGCACTTGATGTCTTTCTGTAGTGTTCCGTTCATCTTATTTGACCTCATCACTTTCATTGTGTGGTATTCTGTTAAAAGTCATTCCTGCTGGCTTATGTTAAAAGTCCGCAGGTGTATCTATCTGCTCATGGGCAGTTTCTTAGCCTGCATGTGTTTCTCTTTCTTGGCCCAATTCTTTTCTACCTGGCACAGTTCCTCCATCCTGTATTGCATTTCACTGTGGAAATCATTACATATCCCACATGCATCCTCCAGATCCACCTGCCATTCACCCAGTTCTGCACTATTTTATCTTTGCACCTGGAGCAATGAAGAGATACAACAAGAATATCCACATCTTCTGTCCAGAGAGGAGTCTGAGCTGCCAAGTGCAGTATGTGATGGGTGAGGTGAAGGGTATGGTTCTCGGGATGAGCAAACAGAGTTTTGGAATACAAAAAACTGGTACTGAATCTTGTGCTGTTTTTGCTTTCCGCAGCTCAGCCCTCTCCTGCTTCCTCAACTGTGTACCTAGAGGAATGAATACTCACAAAGTTCCAACCCTTGCTCCTGCCCCTGAGCCCTGAACTTTGACTTTGGGCAACACTGTCCCAGTGCTTTTATGACCCATTCAATAGTCACCAAGTCATTGAAATTCTGTTCTTACTTATGTGTTGGAAAAGCTGTTATTTGGGGGTGGGTAACTTATGTATCCTAAATTGTTCCTATTTGGGAAGGAGGGTGAATTGGGCTAGGTAGGGGATGTGACCCTACAAGGTAACAAATGCTAACTCTTGCAGAGTGCTATGATTTTATTCGGGACACTTCATGCCATTTACCCAGAGTACCTGAGCTTACCTGCCTCAGAGAATGTGGAGAGACATTACTAGTGATTATTCTATAAAAGAATAACAGGTTCCCCAAAGTGGAAACGTCTCTTAGCATTAGTAGGAAGTTTAGATAATCCCCAGTGGTGAATTTATAGTGGTTTTCTAAATTGCAGCACATTATAATGTTAGAAATATTATAGTTAGGACTGAGAAAACACTAATTTGGAGGAGCATTGAATGATTCAGTTTAGCTGCTCATTGTTTTACCTAATTATCAGGGAAGAATCAGCCTCCTAATTATTTGGTTAAAAATAGTAGTTTTGTAACTATAAAATTTCCTAAAAGTCTGATGGTGATGATAATGGTGATGGTATGCATGTGTATGTGAAGTAGTCTAAAAAAACAAAAGAACATAGTAAATTTAGTACACTTTGGAGAAGCTTTAAACGTTTTGGCAAGAAACATTTCCTAGTTTGTTTTTTTTTCCCCTTAAGTCCTCACACACGTGAACTTCTATTATTCTTTCACTTTGAATATTTATGTTTTGAGCAACCCTTGATTTTTTTTTTTTTTTTTGTAGTTATAAATACACTTTGCCTGGTCAACCCTGGATGCAGGGATGGAGTTCTGCAGCTTGGATTGATAGGTTGCCAAGGAATGAATAAAAGGAAAATTTCCTCGTGTGGTGTAGGATCATCTGCTCTGATTTCTTGGCCCATGAATTGGGTCAGTGGGGTTTGTGCTCACCTGAGCGAATGGAAACTCCGGGTCCCCTACTCTTTAAAGGAACAAAGTTCCCTTCTTCCCCGCGCCCCCTCAGCTTCTTCATGAACTCTTTCCTAAGTCCTTAGGGTCTCCCGGGACTGGTCTGTCTGCCTCTTCTCCTAGGTAGAATGGTCATTTGTCTTTTTCGTTTCCTTTGCCCCTATTCTTGAGGTAAGACTGCAGAATCTTCCACTTCCTCCCATTCTGTTGTCTTAGAGTTAAATAACTTGAATTCTTATCATTTTAAGGGAATGGCAGAAAGCAATTTGACCCAAAGAAGACGTGTCCTCTGGGCTCCAGGCTGTCCTGAATCTGAAATATAAAACTTGAGAGTTACGTATCTGCCTAAATTACAGAGATTTTTATCTCTGTGATTACCCATCCTTGCAATTGGTCTGTTTCTTTGTGCTGTTGGTTTACCTGAAGTGTGTGGCTGGCCATGGTATGAATCTCCTGATCTTCACCTATTATTTCAATGACATCTGGTGTTGAACACACTTTTAATGTCAGGTATTCCTTGTGGCATGTGGTGCTGGGTCTCAGTCAAACTAAGAGTTTTGATTCCCTTCTTTCTGGAAACTTCTATCTACTCCCATGGGGGTGGGACATACATTTTGTGTGCCCTGTGTGAAGGAGGACTTCAGAAGCTCTCTTATGTTTTTTTCTGAAGACCAACGCAGGTGTGTTCTAGAATTTTGTCACTATGCTCTACTACCCAGGTGTTTTTGCGCCTTTTACACTAATAACAGATAACTGTTTGCCAGTTGAAAATGGTACTCTGTATCAACTTGAACAAGGAGAGTCATATTTATCATTGTTGGGACGTTTGATTTCTTTTTTTTATGGCAACTCTAATTTTTTTTATTTTTATTTTTCCTTATTACACATACAGAGCACAAGTTTTCATATCTCTGGTTGTATACAAAGTTTATTCACACCAATTCATGTCTTCATACATGTACTTTGGATAATAATGATCCTCACATTCCACCATCATTTCTAACCCCATGCCTCCTCCCCTCCCCTCCAACCCCTCTGCCCTATCTAGAGTTCGTCTATTCCTCCCATGCTCCCTCTCCCTATCCCACTATGAATCAACCTTCTTATATCAGAGAAAACATTAAGCATTTGGGTTTTGGAGACTGGGATTTCTTACAGAATTTGACTTACCTTGAAACCCTAAGAAGTACATAAGGCTTTATACAGAACTTTGTATAAAATTGTTTGTTTTCTTGTATGGTTGGATAAACTAACCT